ATGTAGTGTGATTAACCCTTCACTTTAGAGGTACCAAGTTCGGGGAATTCTCCACCTTTCTATCGAACAAAGACACACAGAGAATCAAATCGTGTCACATTTGGTCTCATCCGCGCTGTTATCCCACGACCGCCTCAAGACTGCGCCTCGTCGAGAGCTTGCCACAACTAACTGAGATCGGCTTTATTCACATTCCAACTGTTAACCAATTACAGTGAAGTAAAAAGACTCTGAGGCATGGCCTTCACACATATAGCCACGCCATAATGTCAGATTAATTGCCCCCGATTCGGGACATAACTCTCATACTTATAGGCGCCACGTTGACTTAACCAACTTCCATAGTCAATTATATCATCCAGTTGTTCCAATCGCTAATTCCCTAACATACGAATGAACCTGATCATGACAAATTACGAGCAGGTGTGGATCATCCAGGGGTCGTCAGTGAAAGTCGTTATAACTTCAAAAAGCGGCCTCACCGAATTACATGAAAATATAAATCATCACATCTATAACAGCTATTTGAGAGTTGGATATAGAAAAGAGTATAGAAGAATTATAGATAAAAAAATTACCTATCAGACGCTCGTCGATAGAGAAACCAATATCATCCATAGTTACGTAACTCCTCATTTTTCCTGTTACACGATGTGTTTCAGAAAAACTTATAGATGCTAACATATACTGATTCAAAATTATTTTCATTCTAGTATGTTCTCACTTGACCCTTGTATCTGTTACCTATTATTGGGAATTAATCGTTAGTTAAAACCTAGTTTGGTTAGTTATTTTAGTCGAATGGTTAGTGTGTGCGTCCGCAGTGACGAGGCACTACGCTGTGTGCACGGGTTGCGTGTTGTAAATATTCGTTTGCTTGTAATTGTTTACAGTAAATTAAAAGCATATTATACAGAGTGCCTGAATCACCATCGACGGATATTGAATACTGATGAAAGGTCATCATCTTTGTTTGACATTTATCCCTTAGAAGAGATAAAATCGTTGAAAACATTTAAATACTATGACCATTCACAATACGGAACCACGAGAAAATGTGAAATGGCAAAGACCTTCCAATTTATAAGCTTGTGAACCGCTAAAGGTCAAAGTTCACTTTATGTATGTATGTATGTTTTCATTATACGTTATGTATGTATTTCATATATATGTATGTGTGTATACGATCTCGACTTTGAATGTTATAAATACTATTTCTAATATTTAACTAACTGTCTGCCAGTACTACGGCATTGCCGTACTGCAGCCGCGGGCGAATGATACGAACGTACTTTGACACCGAACGTCCGTTGCTACCTTCTAAGTAGGGCTAATATTGAATTACTGTTAAAATCTTGCAAATTGAAGAATAGCATACACTTGATTCATAATACAGACCCGCATGTACTAGCAAACCAACTCGTATACTAGTATAATACCAAACAGACCGGTTGAGGTCTTCTTGTTTTCTGTAAGCTACTCACTCAACTTTGTAAGATTTATATTTCACAGTAAAATGTTCAAAATTTACCACGAGAAATAATAAATCGTATCAACCATTTGAGAGTGTTTAAACATATTTCAACAAAATGAAATACTATGTGATACTAATCTCGATAATCTGATTGGTCCATGCAAGCAGATTGAATATTTGACACTAGGACTGACTAGCTCACACTACGGCACTATCTGAACAGCGACCTTTTATGCAAATGCACGCTGATCACTGTTTTATATTTTAGCAACTAGCAAAGTCACGCTAATATCGACATAATATTATGAGGTTATATTGTGGGTACGCAAAAAAACGACGTTTTTCAGACAATATAATTCTAAATCATTATGTGGCACATTTTGGGTGCCATTTCACTGCACCTGGCCACTTATTGATTTATACATGCAGTAACAATGCAATTATTTGAGCAATAGTTACACGGAGGGATGGATACTCCCATAGTTGAATTATACGGGCATACGTACGTCGCTGTTTGATCTTAAAGTCGGAGGGTTGTCACCTGCGCACGTGCGGGAATTGAGCCCCAAGCGACGATAACAACGCAAAGGTTCATGGTTAGTCGCGTGTTGGTAAACAATGACACGCTATGGCCATCTGACGCATGCGCAGTTGACAACTCCCCCGCTTTAAATTTCATGGACTTCGTCGCAGAAATGCCAATTTTCGAGTCAAAAATGCAATCAACATCGGTATTATTTTGTGTCCAGTATTTTTGAACAGATTGTGGAGCACACACACACACCGGTCAATAACAACTGTATGTAGGAATTCTTATTGCTTTATCATCTTGGTTACCGCGCGGGTTACCGACATCGCATATACATTCTTACGAAATGACTGCACATTTCACTGCCATCTAATCTCGAAAGGAAAGGAAAGGGACATATATATGCTAATTATCATTAGGAAAAAGCAAGAGCCAAACGTGTAATGAGTACAATAAGATTCACACGTGAAGCACCAATTTAGGGCTCCAAAGCCAGGTCGTTGACACGTTGAACGAAGTCATATCCCATGTTTTGAGACTACGTGACGGGAACTATTTTTCTACCATAGTATCAGATGAATACGTTAACCTGGCGTCAAACAATTGAACACATGTACCTGCAAATCTTAACCAAAGTTTCTCCAAAGTCGCACCTGTTATTAAAAGATTTACGAAAGTTTATGACCAACCACACACATGGGAATGTTGTTTTTAATCATTTAATTTACAATTTATTGCACAAATTGACTGCAGTATGTCGCAAGTTGATCTAGTTAGATATAATTCACGATCATAGTACCATTCATAGTGTATATTGTGTAAAGAATGGTTTCATCAAAATGTGAAAATCTCTTTTGTTTATTGTACATGTATTGTATCAATTGTACGTATATTGGGAGCTCAATGTTATATAAGGGATTGGCAAGTTTAACTATAGGGGGGTTATTTGTATTTACATACTAGAATGGTTTAAATGGAAGAAAATATTAATGTATTTTTTTTTAAATTTGAGGTCCAAGTGAGAGTAGCCCCCCCCCCAAGCCGATCGTTAAGCATCACCCAAGCATTTTACAAATCTATAAAGTAGACTTTTAATTGAATGCCTGGCAAAAGCCGTCCAGTTGGCAAGTGTAAATCATGAGGTCCTGCATATAGAATGTATCAACGTTTATCATTGAAACTCTGCGGACAATACTTATTATTGAGTCTGTGGTACTGTGGGTAGGGGGACGACCGTTTCTGGTGTTCAAATCTAGGTAGGACTGGAACTCTAGTCCGATGCAACAATCACTACGATACCATTGGTACGTTGAACTTTGTTCGTGACAGTATGATCACGTGATTCCGTGACACGCTATGTAGTACGAGGTAGTGTACTTAACCAGCAGACCGATAACGTGGTTTTATTATCCAATTTGAGAACCAAGTCAGCCTTTGGTCTACTTCTGTCAAAAAATACAACAGCATCATGTTAGTGACAAAGATTCAAATGTGTCATACTATTTAAATTATCAGAACACAATTATTTAATTTGATAAAGCTGCATAATATAAGCTTGAAGGAAATGTAGAGATGCGTCAGGAAAATTATTTATGTAATAACTCAAGCCAAGACAGTACCGCTTGTACTAGCATGAACTGATGACTGGGCACTCCTGTTAATTGATTTGTTGACCTGTTACTACACGAGTGAGTAGTAAACAAGGTCAAAGTACGGAAGCCTATCTGATAACAACTGGTCGTATTTTGGAACAGTCTATCGGCCGATCTCTTTCCAACCGCTAGGCTGTAGTGTGTGCTCCCGACTTTATCTACTCCACAGGTTTCTTGTAAGTATCCGCTCTTGTTTTTGAGATCGTGGGTGTATCTTGAGATTTAATTAACGTATTAATTTGAAAGGTTTATATGAATACTTCCGGTTAATTTGAAAGTGGCCAATGACAAAACATCCATTTATTGACATTGCTCAAACTTCGCTCTAAATTCAACATCTGTGTTCTGACATGGATATATTTCTTGAGGTATTCCTCGGGAGTTTCAATCGCACATGACCTCCGGGTTTAGACGTAATTGTAGTACCCCGTCAGCATGTAATATACAGTAGCTGATTCAATTACTCGGAGGTGTAAGTAATAATTAACATAACACTGCAGTGTACATGCGGTCCCAGACGATTTGACCCATGACCTCTTAGATTCGATATCAGCTGAGGACGGTCTGCGGCAGATGGCCGTATTTATTTTTTGCGAAACTCGGTAAATACGAGTTGTTTATAATGAATGTTAAACTTCGTTGTATGAAGTTATGAACGCCTTTAATAGAAATGTATGAAACAATTACACCGCCTCGTGCTTCTTTCAAATTAAAAAAAAATTTTTTTACCCATTACCTGCGAATTTCCTTCAACTATTGAATGTTTTACTGACTCGTACGCGAAAGATATTCTAAACGGTCGGTACGCATCCACCAAGGCGTTTTCAGTTATCAAGTTGTTTTTAATTATCATTTGAAATGTATAAATCATCTATAAATTAATTCAATGATTACGATAATTATTCTATTTCTAATATAATTTTAAATCTCAAAGTTAAAATTAAAATTAGAATATATATCAATATCACATGGTCACAGTACATATCATCGCAGTTGTTACCTTTACGGTACGTGATACATCGCATTAATGGGTTAGAACAGTGCGCGATGAAGAACAAATCATAGGGCGGTTTTTATTGCAGTTTAAACTGGATAACAGCAACTACTCGAATGGTGCAATGATGCTGTCTTGTAATAATATTGGCGGAAAGTTTATGTAGAAAAAGATAGAACGGTAATATTTTTGCAGATTGTTGATCATTGACAACGGTCGTAACTACGAATGCACATCCAAGACACGCTTAGAAACCATGCTTTATTAGCCTGCGTTTCGTACGCGTTTATAGTGGCGACGGCACGGCGCGCGGGGGGGGGGGGTTGTCGCCCCTCGAAACAAATGTTGGGGCATCGCCCTTTCAAAATCAAGCTGAAACCCTTTGTGTCAGCAAAATTTGTCCCCCCCCCAAAGCAGGAAATAGCGTTTCAGAGGGTCTAGATTTCATTTTTTCTAAAGCGGGAGTATGCCCCCACATGGTAAGGTCGCGCAGGTTGGTGAGCAGATATCCCCCCCATGCCGCCGCCTATGGTTTACGATTCCTCTGTTTTGTTGACACTCGAAGTTGGTATTGTGATTAAAATGTGGGCTAGTACTGAATTGTGAGCTTATAATACAATACATGAAGATATTCATGTCCAACAGCTCTACGAACAAGTGTTATTAGGCGAAACCGTCATATTATTACCC